GAATGGATCAGCTCAGTGTTACTTAGCCAAATAAGGGAACATCCGCATTAGAATCATGTGGGGTGCTTGTGAAAATTACAGATTCTACCTCTGTATTTTATCCATTGCCCCCCATTCTGAATCTGTGGCTCTGTACTTACCTTTTGAGCAAGCCCCCTAGGAAGATTCTTTTCACATGAATGGAGAGTCTTGAAATCCTGGGAGGAATATTGACAGTTGTGGGCAACTGAAAGCTATTTTAAGTTTTTGAAGAGGGAGAATGATGGCATAATGGACTTGAAGCTTTAGGAAGGGCATAGACTGGAGGTCTGTAAAATAGATTGATGGGAGTGAGATCTCAGAGGCAAGAGTGAGCGGCTAGGAGTACACCAATGTATTCAAGATGAGAAGCCTCGGGAGTTTGCTCTGTATTGGTGGCATCGGCAATGGAGGATAAGCAGTGACTCCAAGAGGTGTGTTCAGAGATGAAAAGATGAGGCTTGGTGACAGATTGAATGTAAGCGATAATGGCAGGGAGGAGTTTGCAATGACAACTGTGTTTTAGGGACCCTAGAGTATGACCCTTCCACCGATATGCATGCTGTTTCTGTCTGATGAGTTCTATTTCAGCCTGAGGTGATGAGGTGTCTGGGAGGCATCCAGGTGAAGACATATGTAGACCATTGGCAACATGGGCTTGAGCATGACCAAAAGTCTGGCGGGAAAATGATGATGTGGGAGAGTCAACAGCATGAGGGAAGAAGAGGGAAGGAAGTCTGGAAACCTGAGTTCAGACCTTGGGGGAGCAGCAACATTAGACACAAGGAGGAAGATGAAGCAAGGAAGGAATAGAGAAGAAACAGAGAGGTGGGTGGTGAATGAAGATTGAATAATAAAGAGAAACCAAAGGAAGAGAAAGGTTTAAGAAGATGAGTATCCATTACATCAGATGCTCTAGGGTTTGAAACGGATAAGAATAGACCTTTCCATTTGGCAAAGAGGGTATTAGATGAAAACTAGCTTTTTTAAAGTGAAAATCTATAATACTTTCTGACGCGAGTGATATGATAGAATACAAGGAGTAAATGAAATCTCTTGACGGCAAATTGTATTGACAGGTAATGAGCAAAAATATATTTCTAACAGACTGGTTTCCAAAAGGATACTCTTCTACTGGAGAGCTGGGAAATTGGGGAGGGGACGAGGGGCAAGGGTTAAAAGGGGGAACAGATTAAGGTGTGTGGGCAAAGAAGAAACTTATCAGGAGATCCTAACATGTACATACTACATTAATGATCTTGCTTACCAAATAGGGCTGCATTCATTTTTTTAAAAGGCTTTCCTTTCTTGCCTCTCGCTTACGGTATCATCTTAAACACGAGCTGTCATATAGGATGGAACCAGATCTCCAAAGCTCTTTTTTTATGCTACCTTGAAATATGGCTTCAGAGAAGAAACAGCCCCTTAAAACACATTATGCCTCCATTTCCTCCTTAATGACCTGGGGGTGTGGGTGAGGGGAGAACCACTTTTACATGTAAAACAAAGCCAGAGTATACATTTAGTGTAGACTACATTCATGCGGGCTGATCTGGCGTTGTGAACCCCATCCTAATTACAGTGTTCCACCTCTGGGTAGATGTCCACCAGGGCATAAATTGCTCTAGGTGTTTAAGGTTTAAAATGACTTGAATACTCCCAATGTTTTCTGTTTTTTATCTACATTATATATACTTGATGACTTTAGATATTAAATCCTTGATTTTTTTCTGTGAACAAACTTATGTGCTTTGGAATAATAAAGCAGGCAATCGTCAGCTAAAATCATCGATTCTCTCCCATTTTATAAAGTTATTTGAAAGGAAAACAAAGGAGAAGAAAGATAAAAGAATGGTTAACAGTGATATGAGAACTTTTTTTTTTTAATCTGAACAGAAATGAAGGCTACCAGTGTTCAGGAGACTTTCTATTATTGGAGTTTTATCCATTGCACTCAAATAAGTAAAATGAAGCAGTTGGACCTGGGATATGACCTGACAAGGGACTTTTTTTCTTCTGAGTTGTGGATTTTTTCTTGTGTCAGATTCGTAAAGACTCCTAGGGGTCTCTAAGTTCTTATATTAACTGTTGGATGATAAGATTGATTTCTGCCCACCACCTGGTTGTTTCTGCCTTGTGACTTCATTTAATCGTCAACACATTCTTAAACAGCCTTGCCAAGTTGCTTAAGCCCAGTGCTTCACGGAGACATAAGAGGCTGGCTGTACTCTGGCTTTCTATGAATGCTTAACTGTTGCTGTGGTCGTACTTTATGTCATGGCGCATAGAAACAGACTGGTATTGAGGCCTATATTTCCTTCTGACATAGTAACTATCATCATTTCAGGATGATTTACAAAAAGCAAAGGAACCTCTTACTCAGAGACACCGTTAAGCTAAATATGATCTTAGAGTAACTTTTTTGGTAGAATTATACTTCTTACAATTGTATCCTTGGTCAATGGCTATCCTTTATCAGTCTTGCCTTATAACAAGCATTTATAAATAGATATGGAAATGGTCATTTTTAAGAAAGAATAATTGTTGAGCTATAAAATAGGTAGATTATAGCATTTATTTATATCTCTCAAATGGGGTTTATATGTCATTACCTCCAGTAACATTCATTTTAAAACGTCATGTAAACTATTTTTTTAGTTAGAAAAGCAGTAGATGTTTAAAGTTTTTGTTTAAATCAAAGATTGAAAAAGGTGCAGAATAAAATGTAAAAATTCTCCTCTATTTCTAGTCTTCAGTATCACTTTCTAAAAGCAATCACTGTTAACAATGTTTTTTTAATTTATTTTTATTGAAGTATAGTTGAATTACAATGTTGTGTTAATTACTGCTGTACAGCAAAGTGACTCAGTAATACATATATATGTACATTCTTTTTCATAGTCTCTTCCATCATGGTTTATCACAGGATATTGAGTATATTTCCCCAAGGTCCTAGTGCTATACAGTAGAACCTTGCTATTTATCCATTCTACATATACCGGTTTGCATCTGCTAATCCCAAACTCCCACCCCTACCCTCTCCCACCCCCCTTGTTAACAATGTTTTAAGTTTCTTTGCATGAATTTTCTAAGCATATACAATTTTACATATATGTATGCATATATGCTCATTTTACACATAGTATACATTTTATACAAATAGTCACTCTGCAAACTGTTATACATCTTGGTTATTTTTTTTAAATTCACTTAAAATACATTGACTGTGTCATGCCAGCATGATTCAGTCAGCTTCATTCTTTTTAAGAACTGCATAGCATTTCATTATATGTATGTACCATAATTTAAGTAATTTCCAGTTTATATCTGGTTGTTGTCGTTCTATTGTTCTAATTACAAACAATGAACGTACTTAGAAGTGAAATTACTGAGTCAAGGAGCATGTGTTTTAAATTTTGGTGAGATGTTTCCAAGTTATCTTGCACAAATCTGTACTTTCACCAATGTTATCTGAGTGTGTTTCCATATCTTCATCTGCCGGTCTTCCTCTGAGGTTTACAATGTCTGCCATATTATAGAATTTGAAAATTGTACTTCTTTTTAATATGTTTTTGTTGGATTCGTATATATTGAGCATTTTTTTCATAAGACTAATAGCCATTTATGTATTTGTGTGAATTTCCTACATTGTGTCCTTTATTTGTCCCTTGTCATACCCATTCTTATGAGAGGAAAAGAAACTCTTTTCTAGGGTAGGCTACTGTTTAATAGATAATCCACCAACAGCTCACAGGAAACCATAAATGTATATATTCTACATGTGAACAGTTGTACAAACACTGATTCACTTGGAGGCCTGAAAGAAAGCCCTAAAAAAAGTATGGCCACACAGCCTGAGGAGGGAAAGAAAGCAGTCTGTCTGGAGATAGATGTGGGGACTGGCCTCACTCTTTCTATTGGTTTTCTATTGCTGCATCAAAAAATGACCGCAAACTTAGCAGCTCCGCCCACAATTGCCCTGGGACAGGAGTCCAGGCATAACAAGACTGGCTTTTTGCTCAAGTCCCACTGATAAAATCAAGGTGTTGGCCAGTTGCGCTTCTTAGAAGGTATCCTCTTCGAAGTTCATATGGTTGTGGCTGAATTCAGTACCTTGCAACCACAGACTAGTGCTTCTGTTTCCTTGCTGACTGTCTTCTGGGGGCCATTTGGCCCCTAGAGGCTGCCTGCCTTCCTTGCCACATGCCCTCCCCCCATCTCCAAACCCAGCAAAGGAGAATCTCCCTTGTGCTAACGCCTTCGCATGCTTCCAATCTCTCTGACTTTTAGACCCAGACCTAAAGGGTCCATGAGATTAGGATGTGCCCAACCTGGTAATCTACCTATCTTAAGGTCAACTGATTTGGAACAAAACCGAATGACAAAATACTTTCCCAGCAGCGCTTAAGTTAGTGTTTGATTGACTAACTGGGAGGATGTGTATGTGTGTACCAGGGACCAGAAATCTTGGGGGCCATGTTAGAATTCTGCCTACCACACCTCCCACCTGCCTTTCTCAGGGGAAGCAGACAGAGCTCATGTCTTCTGGCTGAGGAACTCAATCACACGGAGACATGGAATGCCAGAGGAAGGGAGCAGGAAAGCACATGTGCAACGTAGGGATCAGGCAGACCTTCCTGACCAAGGATCCCAACCTGGTATTTCTGACTCCAATGTCTGCCCTCTTGACCCCCTTGCTATGGCTCACAAACAGGTCATTCTCTGGCTACATAAATGGATTTTGAGTCGTTTAACTTTGCCATTTCTTCTCATGCCAGTGTGATCAGAGTGTGCTTTTGTGAGATGTTGGCCTTGGGTGTTCAACAGAACGGAATGAACTGACCACAACCTAAGTAGATGAGCCACTAAGGGGAACTGTATTGATGACCATTATTCTAAAAGAATTCTAAAACACTGCTTCCCACCCCCACCTCACCTCTGTCTCTCTCTTTCTTTCATCTTCCCACCTGCTGCTGATTTAGGCGCATTATACGTGACTTGCTTGAGACGGAAGAGACTTATATAAAAGAGATTAAAAACATAATTGACGTAAGTAGATTTGGGGCGGGGGGACGTTAAGCATGTATTCAAACTGGAAAAGTTTTGTTGCAGATAGAAACTCAAAATAATTGCCATATGTCTCTAGAATCCCCACCAAAGTTTCAGATCTTGTAATATCACAAGTGGTTTTTTCAGTATGAATAAGAACGTCCTTATGACTATTGATTCATGTAACAAAATAACTTTCAACGGATTGTACCAATTCACATGATTCTAGCAATGCCCACCTAGGTTCACCATATGCTTGCCAACAGTGGGTATGATAATTTAAATGTTTTTGATAAATAAATGAGAGAATTGTTTCTTATTGTTTTAAGTAGCATTTTTTGCTTGAGTGAAAATTTATATTTTCTCTATTTTCCTAAGGTAATAATCTTGAGAAATAAACTATATATACAAAGTTTTAATAGAAATTTTTTACAATAAAACATCAGAAGAAAACCAAATGTCCAAGGAATGGAATGGTTGATAAAGTCTTATATACATGCTAAATGATATATTATTCAACTGTTACAAAATAATTATTTTTAATAATATACAGCAACATTGAAATGAATGCTTGTAAGATTAAATTTAAAACAATATATGTAGAAATTTATGAGTCTAAAATGCATATGGAAAAACAGACTACAAATTATATATGTACTGTGATTATAACCATATAAAACAGCTTTTTTAAAAAGTCATGAAGGAAATATAATAAGACAATAGTAATTGCATCAGGTCATAAAGTAATGGGTAAGTTTTTTCCTTTCACATTTGACTTATGTGACGAATTTTAAAAATAGATTTGTTCTTCCTATAAAAATGCCATCTTATTATCATTGCCATTAAGCCATCTTCTTCTGAAGATAGACACATGAGGAAAATAATATCAGAAGAATGTATTTGACGGAATGGCTTTCAGGACATGTGTGCCTTACTCCCCAATTATTAAAGTGGCTAAGTCAGATCATCTCTTATATGTTCCTGTTTGTAAAACCTACCCTGTTTCCACCTCTGCAGGGATATATCATTCCAATGGATTTTATTTGGCTGAAGCATCTAATTCCAGATGTTCTTCGGAATAACAAGGAATTTCTCTTTGGGAATATTAGAGAACTTTATGAATTTCACAACAGGTACATATTCATTCAAATTATCAGGGAAAATGGAAAATAAGAGAAGGATGGAAATCAGAATGATGGAATTTGGAGATGAAAGTGCTTAGACATTTTTAGGCTTAATCAAGTAGCCCAGAGTCAGTGGATTGGATTGGGGTGGTATGGGATAAGAAGGATGCGAAAAGTGTCACAAGGTCCCCGAGGAAAAAGGGAAAAGACATTAATGGAGCATGTACTGGTGTCAGGCATCGATGTTGTATTCATTTGTGGGTTCCTTTCCTTATTTATCTACTCATGCATCAGCATTTACTGAGCACCTGTTCTGTGTCAGGCACTGTGTTCAGCATTGGGAATACAAAGTCGACCAAGACACAAGTCCACATACCTATTATCGTAGCGGAGTGCTGGGAACCAGGGTGTTAGAAAATGCTAACTGGTCAGGGAATTAATTGTCCTTTCAGCCCAGGGCTGCTTGGGTGTTGGGTTCTAGAGAATGAGAGAAGGAAGGGACTTTGGAAATCATGTTCCAACCCTTTCATTTTACAGATGACAAAACCACAAGTTGTTTACTAACTTTACTCACTCTAATGGCCCCAGGATCACACATCTAATTGATAGGAGGGAAGAGACTGCTTGGTGAACTGAACTACAGTTGTTTCTTAACCACATCTATTGTCCATTGGTCAGACACAAGGCTGAAGTGGAAATCCCACTTCTGCTTTCTCTGGAGAAGTTATGCAGCCTCTTTGAACCTCAGGTTTCACACTTATGAAACCCTGTCTTACAAGGTTTGGTGGAGGATTAAATGAGATATTGTTTGCAAAGCACTTAGCTTATGCCTGATTTATAGTCAGCTCTCCGTGATAGCTGTAGTAGCAGCAGCAACAGCAGTTCTTGTTAACATTACTATCATGTAGCAGGGATCTTCAGTGTATCCAGTCTGTCTGTGGCTGGTGCTTAGAATTACCAGAACTGGTATGAGTGGTTTCAGGGAATCCTAGTAATGTCACAGAATACATTGTTTTCTTCCAAATCAGCATGTTGAAGATGAGTCAAAAGCAGTAAAGCCTGGAAAACAGCATTTTTCTAAGCACCTCTTAAAACCTTATGTGATTTTACTTCAGAAAATTTTGTTAACCCCATACATGTAAAAATCAAAGCATTATTATCGTTTTCTTTCCCTAGGACTTTTCTAAAAGAATTGGAAAAATGCACTGAAAACCCTGAACTTCTGGCACGTTGCTTTCTCAAGAGAGTAAGTCTGTGCTCCCAATAACTCAAAATAACCATGCGATTAAAGTCAGCCCTTAATTTTCTGTGTAATGGCAAGGGCAAATGGAAACACAAGTGGTCTAAAAACTTATATCTGCCTTTTGAATGCAAAGCGGGAGTCCTTTGCAGTACTTCAGCCTTTGTGAGCTGAGTCCAGTTTGACTGAGCTCACCCTGCTAGGTGGGAACGACTGTAAGCCTGGCTTCCTGCCAAGTCCCCTGAAATGGAAGACTGGCCCCCCAGACCCCTGAGGCAGAGGATCCTTCTCTGAATGACTAAGCTAACTGTTTTAGGGCAAGAATCACACAGCAGGCTTAAATTCTTCACTAAAGTTGTAGTAACACTCTCAAAAGAAGTACTAAACTGAAACTATAGAACATATATTTTCTTCCATTTTATTTTCTACGGCATCAAGGAAAGTTAGAAAATTTTAAGTCTACAGCCTGTCTTCCACTTAGCACCCCATTTGTGAACTTCCTGTCCTATAACATCGTATTTCTGTCTGCTTCCCGTCCCACCACACAGACCTCTCCCCTCTTGCCAGTTCTCCACCTGGCTTTGGGCAATAAATAGGCTGGCTGTTTGGGCCAGTTGTGCTCCCTGGGAGCTGGCTCAGAGAAATGCCTTAGCCGGCATCATTCTCCACCAAGTGCCTCCTTCCTCCTTTGGAGATGAGCCCAGTGCCCTTTGCTTTCTAAACTTTTCCCATTTCTTCTCTCTCTCCCAACCGGCCCTTCCTTTCATTCTCTTGCTTGTTTTCTTTCTGTGAGCCTGAGACAATAGATCAAACAACTTAAGCATTTTTAAACAGCTGAAATGATGACTGATAAGTCTAAGAGCAGTACAGTAAGTCCCCTACCTACAAACCTTCAAGTTGCGAACTTTCAAAGATGCGAACGTGCGTTCACATGTCTGATAACGTAAGTTAGTTCACGTGTCTGGTGTACATTGTCACGTGCATGCATTCTCTGCAAGTGGTTGTGCTTTTGTGTGCTTTACTGTACAGTACTGTATAGAGTACAGCAGTACAGTATCTTTATTTCAAGCCCAGGATGTCTGGAAGCAAGCATAAAAGCAGCAGTGATGTAGTTGGTACTAAGATGCACCGATGGAGAGGGTGTGGAGAAAAGGGAACCCTCTTGCACTGTTAGTGGGAATGCAAATTGATATAGCCACTATGGAGAACAGTATGGAGGTTCCTTAAAAAACTAAAAATAGAGCTACCGTACCACCCAGCAATCCCACTACTGGGCATATACCCTGAGAAAACCATAATTCAAAAAGAGTCATGTACCACAATGTTCATTGCAGCTCTATTTACAATAGCCAGGACATGGAAGCAACCTAAGTGTCCATTGACAGATGAATGGGTAAAGAAGATGTGGCACATATATACAATGGAATATTACTCAGCCATAAAAAGAAATGAAATTGAGTTATTTGTAGTGAGGTGGATGGACCTAGAGTCTGTCATACAGAGTGAAGTAAGCCAGAAAGAGAAAAACAAATACTGTATGCTAACACATATATATGGAATCTAAAAAAAAAAAAAAAGGTCATGAAGAACCTAGGGGCAGGATGGGAATAAAGACTCAGACCTACTAGAGAATGGACTTGAGGACATGGGGAGAGGTAGAGTAGGCTGGGACAAAGTGAGAGAGTTGCATGGACATATATACACCACCAAACGTAAAATAGATAGCTAGTGGGAAGCAGCCGCATAGCACAGGGAGTTCAGCTTGGTGCTTTGTGACCACCTAGAGGGGTGGGATAGGGAGTGTGGGAGGGAGGGAGATGCAAAAGGGAAGAGATACGGGGATATATATATATGTATAGCTGATTCACTTTGTTATAAAGCAGAAACTAACACACAATTTTAAAGCAATTATACTCCAGTAAAGATGCTAAAAAGAAAAAAGTAAAAAGACATGCTGAGCGATAACGATGGAAACAAAAGTGAAAATAATTGAGAGAGTGGAGCGACAAGAGGAAGAAGAAGTAACTGAAGAACGGAAGAGACTCACGACACAGGAAATGGCAAGATTTTCTTTATCTGAGGAGGCACTGTTAGTTTTTGAGGCAAAGGACCTGAATGTAGAATGGTACACGAAGGTTGCAGCAGCCGTTCAGAATGCAATCCAGTGCTACTGTGTCACCTATGATGAGAAAAAAAGAGCTACTACCCAGAAATCACTGGACCTGTTTTTTCAAGAGGGTAGATAGAATTGAATCCAGCAAGGAACCAGAACCTGTGCCATCAACGTCAGGCGTGAGTGAACTTGCCCTCCGTCTCCTATTGCTGACGATCCTTCAGCTCTACCATCTCCCACCCCCTCTCCCCCCTCCAGTCAGTAACTCTTCTTTCCTGTTCGCTCGATGCCAGCCCCTGTATGCCAGCTGTTGTGCTGTACTACTGTACTTTCAAGGTGCTGTACCGTAAGATTAAAAATGTTTTTCTTTACTTTTTGTGTTTTTTTTAATGTATTATTTGTGTGAAAAGTATTATAAACCTATTACAGTACAGTACTATATAGCTGATTGTGTTATTCGGGTACCTAAGCTAACTTTTTTGGACTTAACGAACAAATTGTACTCACAAACACACTTTCAGAACATGTAGGGGACTTACTGTACCTGTGATAAACTGAAAGCAAGCAAACAAAAATCCCCAGGTTTCAAGGTATTAGACATAATGGAGAAACAGAGTCTTCAACCCTCAGAACTCTGACCGACTTAGAAGACCCCTTCCATAGCCCTGTCTGGGCTTTCCATCACAGCCTTGTCATAGGTTTTTCATCCAGTGACAGAATTCAAGATACATTAAAAACCATTTTGTATTCAATCTGATTAATTTCCTTTTTGACTTACTTTGATAGCATTATTCGTGTTTTATACTATTTGGCAATTTTGTGCTCATCAAACCACCAATGTGAAATCTAGTTGCAGAGTTTAGTAATATTTCATAACTGACTATATCATTATTGCAAAGACTTATTGAAATTGTTGAATGAGAAAAAGACCAAATTCCTGTGGGGAAAAAAAAAGGATATTATCAAGTTAAAATTGCCAAGTTTGAGGAAATGGTCGGGCAATTGCTAACTAAACATCTTTTCTTAGAAAAATTCCTCTCCTAAAGTTTTACAGAGCTTTTTATAGTCTCCCATGTTGGGAGGAACCCTAGAAATCATTAATCCAGACCACATACCTGCATATAATCCTATATGATTTATGATATTGGGGAAAAAATACAGGTAATAAATTCTTTCCAAGAACAAAATATTACTCTGAGACAAATGAAGTAATTAAAAATCACAATTACTTAACCTTTGAGAATCCTTGAGGGCATTGTCACAGCTGTGCAAAGACCTGTATTGGTTAGCCAATAAGGCAGGCCCATCACCCACTATTTACTACAGCAGTTTACCTCTTCTCTTCTCAGTAATACTTGCAGACTTCCACTAATCATGAAAAGAATTTTGAAATATTGCTCTAGCCAAGTGTTTCAATTAGATTCGATAGCTTGTAGTATCCAGGAAGATTCTGCCCCAGAGACCAACCTCCATGTAGAATAGCGTTTGTCAGTAGTTTACTTTGAGTCCCATTTGCTCTGAGATCTCACGTGGTACAATAGAAAAAAACACTGGGGTGGGACTCAGAAAACTTCTTATCTAAGTTGAGCCACTTGCTATCAGCATGACCTCAATTATGTCACTTAAACCCCGGGAGTTTCACTTTTCTCCTGCATACAACAAGCTTAGTAATACCAATATGTAAAGTTGTGGAAATCAAATAAAATAATGCACACAGAAGGACTCTACAAAAGTAAAAAATGCTTTGACAATAGCTACCATTTGTTGGGTACTCTGCATGTATTGGGCATTTGTTGAGAGGTTTCTATACATCTTCCCATTTAATCGCACAACAATCATAGGAGTTGACTGCTGTTGTGAGCCCACTTAATAGATGAGAAACTGAAGCGAAGGAAGGTTAAGTAACTGACCTCGGACCAAATAGTTTGTAACTAAGAAAGCCAAGAACTGAACCTGAGCCACAGTCTTCTTAATCCATAAGAAATCATGTCTTCCTGTGTGAATATGAGGTTGGGGGTAGCAATTTTTTTAGCCTCCTGATTTATTCTATAGGGAGGTAAGGAGAATCAGGTACTTTTGTATGCTGCTGGTTAGTGCACATGCTTTCTCTAAGGAATTTTGGACTGAAGAGCAAATTTAGGTCAGTAGTTGTGTTTCAGTACTGGAAGGCATATAATGTTCTGTGATGCTCAAAGTGCAGACACAGGACCAAGGGGTGAAGGTTTCAGGAACACAGGTATCAGCGCAGCATCCACCAAGAGAACCAGGTCCCTCTCTGTTACTGGGAGGATTTAGGGAAAGGTGGCCGACTGTTGGCGATGTTTTCCTGGGTGGAAGGCTGGATCTCCAGTCTCCTCCAGCTTCTGAGAATCTTCTGGTGTTGAGTGTTGAAAGCAATGAAACCTTGAATCCTTTTAGGAGCAAAAGGCCAATGTCTTTGTGCTCTGACAAACCAAATGTGGGTGAAATGCCTTAATCAATTTGTAGTGTTTTATAAGCCTGGCCTTCAGTGTAGCAGGAGTATTCCTCAAGTCTAGGCTACTACACTCTGGGAGCCATTGAGTTTAACAAATGTACTTAGCACAGTGCCTGGCACATCAAAGGCACTCAACAGATCGTTCTGGAGTGAATGAACAAGGAAGTTATTATTGTTAAGTTCTGAATTATTATTCTAGTTTCTTAACGAGTCTGAACAACATTTCTCAAGGGCTCTCTGCCTTCTTAAACGTGTGTGTGTGTGTGTGTGTGTGTAATTTTTCTTGGAGAGAATAGCAAAGGACAGAGTTGCTGTAGTCCTTGCAGTGAAGTGAAATGACCACTTACAATCCATCGGGAGAGAGGAAGAGCTACAGAAATGGAAATCATTCACTACAGCAGGGTGTTTAGAAGTAGAATAGACACAGTGAAAGCTGTAAGGGAAAAAATAACCCATGTCCAGATGAAGGACCTCAAGAGTGGCCTCACCAAGAGGACAGGGACACAGAAATCCACAAGGAAGTGGCCATGTGGTCATCTCTGCCAGAGCAGCCCGGGCTCTGTGGCAAGCACAGCTGAGTGGATGGACCAGGTTCTCCTGATGGAATGGATGAAGCTGGCAAGCTGACTCCACAGGCTGGGGGTATCTTTTCTATCTGGGATATTGGCAGATGTGTTTCCCACCTCACACAGTCTTTGATGCAATGAGAATATAGGTCACACAGCACTTGGAATCCCTCTTGATCTCTAGCACTGACATAGTCATGTAGCTTTTCCAGTCTCAGAGTCTTGTGCTGCAGGTTGAAGGTGATGTCTGAGGCAGGGGTTGCCCAGACCACTTAGGTTTGTGTCCGAACTGCCACATTTTCCTTCTGGGATGTTTCTATCCTTCGGTTGTTTCTTAGGTTTATTTGTAGGTTTGGCATCATGATAACTGTAAAAAGGAGTGAGTGGGGAGAGAGAAAGGAGAGGCCATCAGCTACGAGCACTTTTTGTCCTTTTTATTACTTAGTGCAGAACTATCTGGGGGAGATATTGGTGTCCCAGATAAAGAGCAGAGGAGAAAGGATAAAGTTAAAACTCTACTCCTGTTCATGAATTTACTTATTTATTTACCAGAGTCCTGTAGCTGCTCTCACAGCACTCCATTCACATCTGCGTTGTTTATAACCCTGTGTTCATCTCCCCATCACACACTCACCCCAACAGAAGGTTATTTATTGTGCATCCCCAGTTCCTTACACATTGAAAATACTCAGGCCTGTTGAATGAATGAATAAGCTGTATTATCCTGTCCTCTTACTGAAAAATGCTACCTGGTTAATTTGTTCTAACTTTTTCTCACCCAGAAAGAAGACCTTCAAATGTATTTTAAATATCATAAGAATCTGCCCCGAGCCAGGGCAATCTGGCAAGAATGTCAAGACTGCACCTACTTTGGGGTAACATTGCATTTCTAAGGTCTCCCACAAGCTGTTTTCCCTGGACGCTGTTTATGTACATCCAATTTGTAAAGAAATTGGAAGTATGAACTAGGAAGAGGAACTTGGCATTAATTGGGATTTATGTTTATTAATTGGGATTTATGGTTATTAAAAGTCTCTTCTTTTTTGAAATTATACACTGGAAGTTTCAATGCTGCCCTGAGTCTCCATGGGACAGCTCTGTAATGAGCAGCTGTAGCCTGGTGAGAAAACCAGGGTCCTCTTCTAGGATGGGTTTTAAAAGTGGAATTAAGTCACACTTTGGGGTTCCCTGGAATGATATCAATAAGCCCATCATGTACCCTTGACTAGACTCCACCACCCCCAAACCCCAATTCTAAGACAACCTTTTCAGAAGCCTGCCCCATTGTCTCCCTCCTAATGGACTTACTTTCTAAAAGAAATAAATGTTCCGGCATCCCTACTTGCCTATAAAAATACTAGCCAAGCCCATCCCCTTTCCCATTACTCTCATTTTACACACTGTTCCTGAGGGACTGAACAGCCAATAACATTATGAAACTGGTCGACACAGCTGCCCCTTCTCTCCATGAAGAGCTCATTTCACTTCTTGTATTTAAATGTTGCCGCTTCTGTTCTGTGTGTGTGTGTGTGGTTTTGTTTTATGTTGTTTCTGTTTGGCTTTTCAAGGTATGCCAGCGTCAACTGGGTCACAGTCTCCCTCTTTTTAAGTATCTGAGAGGACCAAGCCAGAGACTTATGAAGTACCAGATGTTGTTGAAGGTAAGTCGATGAGACAGTGCTTCCTGTGCTTGAAGAACAGATGTGGGCGCTGTGGTGCTCTTTTCCTTAGACACGTAGAATTGTGACTTCGACTTCCAAAGGTGAAACTATGTCTAGATTTCAGGCTTTTTCTGTCCCCAGGTCTAAATCAGCCTCCTCAATGAGGAAGAAAACCAAAGAATCATAGGGTCCCGGGAGCCTGGCTAGTCCATCATGCAGCCAGAACATGGATCTCTAAGGAGAGCCCAGCTTGGGGGAGCAGAGGTCCTTGGGAGGAAAGTGGGGAAGAGGGAGGCCACCACACTGCTGGCAGCTGAGAGGGTGGGGAGGCAGCCAGACCTCTGTTCTCGGTAACATATCTACAGGTAAGATATCATCTGCTCCATTTTACAGCTGGGGCAAAGGAGCTTCAGGAAAGAGGTGTGATTTTCCCTAAAGCTACTATTTTACGTGCATTTAAACAATGGAGGGGAGAAGGCAAAACTGTGACATCCACCTCTGCCCTTAAACTGAGGATTTTTCTCAAGAGCAGCATAACAGAATGAATTTTGTTTTGCTGAATCCCTAGGTGGTTCTTTCTTTCTTTGCTCTGACACCAGCACACCTGCAGGAGAGCACTCCCAGACCCCGCCACCACCCACCCGTGTGCGCCACCGCCCCCCGCCCCCCCCCCCCCACACACACAGGACAGGAGCTCTGTCAAAGCTGCTTCCCCAGGTGTGAGCTCAGGGAAAGGTTTGGGTCACTCCTCCAAGTTCTGTTTTGAGTTAACCTTTATAAGCAGCTCTTGCCCAGTGGCTACTCTCACTTAATTTAAAAACAAGCCCCTGCTGTTTACTGGATATCTTCCCACATGTATTTCTTTTTGTTTGTTTGTTTTTAAAAAGAATTGTTTACTTACCGAACCTGGGGCAGATTAGATACACAACCAACTTTAAATTTACATCTTTTAACTCAACTTTGAAGTGTTTTCACACACACGTACACAAATTGGCATGCAACAGTTGTCCTAAGGTAAAACACAGTCACCTTAAACCGTTGCAGGTATTTTCGCCCAAGGTTGAAAAATTGTTTATCCTGAACATGAAAACCTGTAACAGATTTAAATTAAATATATAAAACTTGTTACTTGTAGTTTTCCCCTTGCAAAGATCCAAAAAAAAAAATGTACAGGTAACTAATATACATCAGTCACAACATAATCCTGGATCATCCCCACACCAAAACCAGATGCTCCTTTAATTTTAAACCCATCATCAGAGGCCAAGAGGAAGTCATTTCGTTTTATACAAAACAAAATTCACACCCACCTGTATTTCTTATTTAATCCCCACCATCAGATGTGCCAAAAGGCTCTGAAGTGTGAAGAAACTGAGGCTCAGGGCAGTTACGTTTATTACCAACGTTTTGCCCTCAGAACTAGTTACCCTCTCAGCTTTGCATCAGCAGGCCCAGCCTTGGCTGCACCGGCTCTGCCGCTGCCAGTGTGGGATGCCTGGACCTCTCAGGCCTTGGTTTTCTCGCCTGTAAAGTGAGGACACTAGAACCTCCTGCACAGGTTGCTGTGAGGAGCCAGTGAGTGACGCAGTAGAGAGCTCACTCAGGGCTGACCCCCAGGAAGCTTCCGCAACGTAACGTGAGGCTGTTGTTTTATACATGGAGCCATCACACCAGCCTGGGAGTGAGGTTGATGAGCCTCTGCTTCCCTCCAAGAGCGGCATCTGTGAGCATGTTTTGGTACAGCGTTAAATGGTAATACTCCATGTAGGCTAGGGGCTGGTGAAAAAAGCTTTCATTTATGGCTGGTGGGAACATAGTCCTTCTCTAAAGAACTTGGAAACATGCATCACAACTCTTAACATTAACAATTCTACTTGTAGGAATTTATCCTTAAGAAAAGTGTATAAAGATTATTATTATTTTAGTAAAAAATTATTGAACCTAAATGTTTAACAGGAGGGGGGATTAATCAATCATGATTTAGCTATAGGATGCAATACTCTGCCACAATTTTAAAACATGTTTAAAAAATATATAATGTCATGGGAAAATGTTCATGATACGTTGTTGAGAAAAAGCAGGCTACAAAATAGTGTGTCCAATGTGATTCTATGTTTGTGGAAAGAGCGCTGCGCTGAATGTACCATTTACTCTTTCCCTCTTACTTGTGACAAACAGACAAATTTATATACATCCTCATTTTAGCATTGGCTGGAGATTGTTTGCACAACAGATTAAGTTGGCCTTCTACTTTTTGATTTTCAATAAAGCTTTTGGGTTAATGCAGGGTCTGCTGGATTTTGAGTCACCTGAGGATTTGGAGATGGACCCAGGTGATCTAGAAGGAGGTTTGGCTAAGGTACTGGATATTAAATATCGTTCTATGTACTAACTGCTAATGGTGTTTGCCTAAGGACTTAAGGACTTAAGGACTAAGGACTAAGGACTAAGGACTTAAGAGCGATTTCGTTTTGTTTATGATCTTTATTGTGTAAATTTTTGTTTATGATCTTTATTGTGTAAATTTTTGTTTATGATCTTTATTGTGTAAATTTTCTAAAATAATATGCATCCTATAACTCATAGTCAGGAAAAAACAAAAAAATAAAGACAATTTCAAAGTGGGGATTTGTAATAGGATAAGTGGTAATATATCTTATTCCTTCCACATAAAAATGTTTTACCAGAATACAGAAGTAAGCAAAGGTATAAAATGCATACATAAAAGACTGGAAGTAAGTATAATAAAATCCCTTTGGTGGTTTTCCTGCATGGTAGGATTATGAATGATTTATATTTACTTCTTTGTACGCCTTAGTAAGTCTATATACATTATGCCCTGTTCCTTTCCAAATGTGTGTGTATATGTGTGTGAATTCTAAGACAACCAAGAAGAAACTTGGAAGAAGTGATGGCCACACCAGATTGGGAAGAAATTTTTGGCTTGGAAGTGGGTTTTTTCAATTTTTCTGTTATAAAATTCTGGTTTTAACAAGAATAACATGAGGCATGTGTCTCAAGGGGCAGTCATTTGCATGTCCTCTCTGCTCAGATGGTGCTGTGGGGATGCCTTAAGATTAAAGGAAGCTCAGGGCACAGGTAGTAATTTTATAGCCTGGAGCAAATGCAGCTAGCCTGGTTTAGAGGAGTTTAATAATGTTTGTAAGAATTTACCCTGAGTTAGAGAGGTTTAATAATGTTTGTAAGAGTCCTATATCACACAATGTAAAACTAGCCACCTGCCGTGTTTGTGGGAGGAGGGTTAGTGGGAAGGAGAGGGAATAGGTAGCCGTCGAGTCTCTAAAGGCACATTGAGTTTCAAGTATTTAGGAAAGAGGAAGATGCCTGGTGTAAGAACTTTTAATCCTTTGTTAATGACATTACAATAAACTCAGGTGAGAGTGTGTTGTCTTCCACCAGGACCTGGAACACATTTACCATAAGTAAGAAGGTAAGAATCCATGCAAAATTGTTCAGTGGAGGCAGCATGCTCTGCTCCATTCATCAGCCCTGTCACTCATATCTCTTATCCAAACATGCTAATCTTTATAGTTTAAGTAGAGATTAAGAAAATACACAACCCTTTGCTTACATCATGCAGTAGAGGATAAGAAGAGGTGGGGCTATATGCGGAGCAGCAAAGAGCTCTCTGTTCTTTGTTGTAGAAGTTGATGTGTTTAAAAAAAAAAATGGACGAAGCCAAAATCCTTTTGTTTGTATTTAGCAGATAACAGATAAATATGCTATGTAGGTAGCAGATGAATAAAATACGGAAACCCTAAGCAAAAGACTTTGAAGCTGAAACCATCCCTACCATGTCCTAAGTGTCACAATAGTAATAATTGGAACGTTGGTGTCTTAAATTAGCTTTTCCCTTAATTCTGGGTCTTTATGCTGTTTGGGAGGTGCAGATCACGTTGGCTTACCTCTTTGTAATATTTAATGGTGATAGAATATGGGAAGGGCAGGGGGAGGAGAGGAGAGAGAAAGGGCAGAGCTCGGGGAGATTCAGTGTGGCAAATGCCACCGTTATGGTGTTTACACATAAATCATTAGTAAACCTTGGCATAGCAGCCCATTCTTTGCCTCTAAAGTTTACAAATATCCTCCTCTGGGAAGGTTTTAAGTATAATTTTACCCATAGGAATAAGACTGTCACATTAAATACAGGAATATGATACTCAGATTGAACTTTTCAATAGGCCCTGGGGGTAGGGGAGTAAAAGGGAGAGCACCCTATTTAAAAGGGCTGGGGTTTTCATGCTTTACAAAAGCTCAGGATGTTTCTTATATAGCCAGAATATAATGTCCATGATTTTATGAACTTCATTCTTCATTAGTACAATGTGCAGAAAGTGTAATGATTTTGCTTGTGTGTGTGTGTGTGTGTGTGTGTATCATATATTGTACTTAAACCAGCAAATATCCTTAGCTACCATTCTTTGGGAGCAGGGAAACAGGTTGATGTACCTACCTTCTCAGTCACTTCATGCTGGCTGGATCCGTGGCTCCTTATCTCTGTCCTGTTTCCCTTCTTCCCTTGGTAGATGGTTTACCTTTTGATTTCCAACAAGGCATTTGGTTTCCACAGAATGGGCCAGAGAGGACCAAGGATTCAGCCTTCTCAGACGACCTACAACAAGCTTTGGCCATGATGGAGGATTTGATCAAGTCCTGTGAGTTGGCTGTGGACCTGGCAGCAGTCACCGGATGTCCGGTATGTTCCATAGCAAGTGCTGGGACATTTCCACAAAAGGCAGGCACAGTATTACAAAGGTAGCAGATACTGTGGCAAAGTTAGAGAACTGATCTGTGGGAAAGGAATTTGACTCTGGAGGAAAGCTACCTAAATCGGTCAGCAAAGCTGTGCTACAAGATTCCAAGCAGCGCCTCAGCATTTTTAGGAATCTTGGGTTGTGGTCCTTGGGATCCTGAATGTTGAAACTGACCCATACTCTGGAAAAAGCAAGAACTCAGGGACCAGAACATATTGGGCAGGGGAAAGTGCTGAGGGAGTAATTTATTTTCTCACTCGTGGCACCATTAAAATATTAAAAGATTTTCCCTCTTGAGTTATATTTTCTCTGTGAAAATTACTTTGAAAATGGGTCCTAAGTGAACACCTAACCCCATTTTACATCACAGATCCCAGAAGAGGCCTTGTATATCCCTTAATCCAAGTGCTTAAAGAAAAATGCCCAAAGAGAGAGTGCTGGGGGGTTGAGCCATCTCAACTCTGGCATTAGAGTTAATCCCAAGTAGGCCAGACCCAGGCATTCCAGGCAAACTATCCTCTATAACTGTATGATCGCCCTGGGACTGGGACATAATTAATATTCAGCTGGTTTTCACTGTGAGCTACTCTAGATTTTGACTCAGGGGTATTTTCTGTCATTGTCATAACAAATTACCCCAAACTTGGTGCCTTCAAATAGTGCAAATTTATTGTCTTACAGTTCCACGGATCAGGAGTACAACATAGTCTCACTAGGCTAAAATCAAGGTGTCTGCCTTCCTTTCTGGAGGCTTTAGGAGAAAATCTCTCTCACTGCCTTTTCCAGTTTACAAAGGCCACCCACTCACTTCCTCTGCTCATGGCATCTTCCTCCCTCTTCAATGCCAGCAACGGAGGTTGAGTTCTTCTCCCATCACATCACTCAGACCTTCCCTTCTTTCTCTTCCACCTTTAAGGACTCTTGTGATTACATTGGGCCCAAGCAGTTAATCGATGATAATCTCCCCATCTCAAAGTCAGCTGGCGAACAACCTTAATTCATTTGTCACGTTACCTGACGTAGTCTCAGGCTCCAGGGATTAGGGCATGGACATCTTTGGGAGGCCATTCTTCTGCCTCCCACACAGGGATCAAGCATTCAGAGAATTGTTGATACATGTCACACAGATACTTTCCTTCTCTTTTTTACCTTTTCATTTTTACCTGGATTTAACATACTGTTTATTGAGGACTTGGTAGATGAAATGACCTTTCTTTTCTTTCCTTGTCAGAAATCAAACCACACAAATTAATTAGGGGCAAAAAACCCTGTGATTTTTGATTTCCCTCCCTCCTGGTTTTCCTCTGGCCAGCATCTCAGAAACAGCCCCACTGGGTTTGCTGAGATCTGGGCAGCGATGCTATTACTGTCCCCTGGGACTCCAGAATGCTGTCTGCTTACTACTGATGCAAGATTCAAGAGGGTATTCATGAACCATGGGGTGTGTGGCAGAGGGGATAGTTTTCTTGATGATAACTGTTTCCTTCTTTGGTTAATAAAAGTCAAGAGAGCAATTTGTTTAATCATTTGGAATATCTTTCTGTTCTTCTTTTCATCTTTGAACTCATGTCAGCTACCCCTATCAGATGTCCCTTTCCCTGAATCAAAAGAGTGTCCTGGAACCTGTACTCAGGGCGGGAAACTCCCAGCTATTATTCTGAGTGTAAGTAACATAGGAGGAGGAAGTTATGAGAAAAGAATATTAAAATGTGAGTAAATAGCAATCTACTCTGATTTCATTCCAAGCTGGTTTGCATGCAAATAAGATGAATGAGTTTATAGAATTTTAGAGATTTTTTAACACCAAGACAAAGAACTTTTCTCCCCTGTGTGTCCTCAGAATTGCACCTTTGAAATACAGTCCATGGTTTCTTTTTCACTAAGACTTTAACTTGCTTTACATCTAGTACATTAGGTGATGTATCCTGACAGTTTTGAATAATCCTACTGAATTATGGAAGAGCAGGCATTGGACTTTTCAACTTTCTGATTCAGCAACAGGTCCATGGAAAGAAGAGTTGACTCACCCCAATCACGTGGTCATCAGCCAGGACTACTTCTTGGATCTCTTCACTCCCTATCCAGGGTGCCAACCTCTCAACACATTCTTCATCTGATTCCGTTTAGAGTTTACTAACAACTCAACTACTGTTAACTCAGCTCTAACGATTCTGAGATTCTTTGCATCAGCTTTGTAGAACTTTATCACAAGGTGTTTCCCATCACATGCTGTAGGTAGAGATGAATCCAGAACTTAACTTCTTAGTTTCTCTATTGACATCCAGTATTAACCTGGTTTTGTGAAGAAAAGAAATTGAACTTGGTGGGATGAATTCATAATTAAAACAACTAGAAAAAATGCCCTTCTGATATTCACATTTTCTCCCTGTTGTGTATACTCAGTTAGTTCTTGGTTTAATTTAATCACAAAAGATTTAAGAAAAAAATTTTTAAGAAAATTTGTTTTGTGGAACACTGAGATGTAATTTATTTCCCTCTCTTTACAAAAAAAAAGGTCCCCCCTGGGGCTTCCCTGGTGGCTCAGTGGTTGAGAGTCCGCCTGCCGATGCAGGGGACTTGGGTACGTGCCCCGGTTCGGGAGGATCCCACATGCTGTGGAGCGGCTGGGCCCATGAGCCATGGCCGCTGAGCCTGCGCGTCCAGAGCCTGTGCTCCACAACGGGAGAGGCCACAACAGTGAGAGGCCCGCGTACAGCAAAAAAAAACAAAAAAACACAAAACAAAAGTCCCCCCCCATTCAATTTAGTGCATAAAATATAGATGCATTTAGAGTTCTTTTAAATCCTCACTTGCCAGGAACATGTTCCAAGGTTGAATAGTAAAGGTTGAATGAAATATTTTATTTTCTGAAACAAATTTATGTTATTCGATAAAGGAATTATTTTTATGGCAAATTTATTGTGGGCTAGGGCCAGGTATTTTATTTTCTATTTTAGTTCCCACTTTCCTTACCATAGTGTTGGCTGCAGAGATAAGGCTGAGTAAATAATCTTGATGACTCAGTGGAATTGCCTTGTACGTCATCCCACCTTCACAGCACCCATGTTAAAGGGTGATTGTGAGGCATAAATGAGGATTAAATCATAGGGCACCTAGCACCATGCCTGGCACCTGGTAGATGCTGAATAAAGGGCCCCAGTGCTGACTTATTTGTGTACTTAGGCTGGAAAGGAAGGAACCCCTTTGCTTCTGGCAGTTGTAATCACAGGCCCCTCGGTCCCACAGCTTCTACTTTTCATTTCTGGACCAGGCTTTGTGCTAATTCACTTATCCAGATGTTTCCTGCCTCTTTGTGCAAGAAGTATATAGCTCTGTCCCTTTAGCTGTCATGGCCAGGAGTGAAAACCTGGGCACCCAAAAGAAGTCTCCTTCTGGAGGCTAGTTTTCCTACAGTCACTCTCTCAGTCACATTCTTCATTTGGTCGATGTAGTCACATTTGAAATTCTTACCTCAGAGCTCTTACCTACAAAATGTCCATACATGAAAATGGTAGCATTTACTAGATTATTTTGCCATCATTTCCCATATCAGGGAGACCATCTGACATTTCATTTGCTGATTTGTTTGGGGCAGCCCCTATGTTGTATCTGTGAGCTCACACCCATCAGATTCATCAACACACCAAAGTGATGGCCACACTATTATGTCACTAGTGGAAAAACTGGTTGAGACTACATTCATTTCCTAGAGCTGTGATAACAAAGCACCACAAATTAGGTGGCTAAAAAACACAAAAATGTATTCTCTCACAGTTCTGGAGGCAAGAAGTCCAAAATCAAGGTTGTCGGCAGGCCCATTCCTCTAGGGCTCTAGAGAAGAATCCTTCCTTGCTTGTTTCCTGGCTTCCTTGGCTTATAGCTGCATCACTACAATTTCTGCCTATCGTCCTAACTGTCTTCTCTATGTGTGTGTCTTTGTTTTCTTATAAGGACACCAGTCATTGGATTAGGGCCCACCCTTATCCAGAATGACCTCATTTTAACTAATTACATCTGCAAAGAGCCTATTTCCAAATAAGGTCACATTCTGAGATCCTGGGTGGACATGAGTTCTTTGGGAAATACTATTCAAGCCAGTTCAAGGTCATCACTGAATTAGCTTCCTCACAGTGCTGAGCATTTAGCTTTGTGTCCCCTCAGGCACTCACTAAATGCCAATAAATGCTTCCATACTTTAGGGCACAAGTATCTGCAAGAGGTTGTACATGTAGTCTCTGGCCTTGGGACCAACTCCTGTCTGACTGGAAAGAAAGGATATATATGGTTGAAAAGGTGGCCAAGGGTCATCCTTGGTCCTGTTCAGAGCAATCCCCCTACCCTCTTCCCTTTGGAGGCAGAGTAGCCTCCACACAGGCATGTGTCCTGGATGACGGTAACGTATGTACACCTGTCCTTCATCACTGCTATACAGGGCATGTGCCCTCGGCCACCACAGGATGGGTCTCAAGCATTGAGATGTCTGATCCCATCACAAGCGTGGTCCTGAGAAAGTTTATGCAAGATGTCCTGGATGATATGTAGCCCATCTCTTCCAACTCATCTCAAAAGACCCAGTGATTCCCTCTAGTGACCTTCAATGATGACAGGCTTACTGGAAAAGGCAACCATATAGCCTCAGGAAGAGTCAGAACAATGACAGGACAGGGCTCATGGGTGTGAGAACTAAACCAGGATCCACAGCAACTCTAGGACTTTGGCCTGGGAGGGAGCTGGGGTTCTCACCTGTGTGCTCTGCCTATACGTGCCAGGTATGTCCTCTCCCCTCACCGGCCGCTGATTGGTGTCTTTTCCTCTTCCTCATAGTTTCTGATGACTTACCTTCTTTATTGCTCTGCTTCCTTATCATTTATTCTACCTCCAGCCCTCTCATAAAGCATCTCACAGCTACAACTCTTGCTGCTTCCTGCTTTCTCCTTAGTTCTCCTCAGTTCAGACAGGGATCAGATTGGCCATCTGGCACGTCTTTTTTACACTAGGCCTCTGTAGTCAGGGGCTGGCCCATCTCTGGATTCACATCCTTTGGCCAATTGCTTACTAAGGTTCAAACAGCTGTGGCTGTGGGAGGGATGAGAAGTGCAGAGGCTGTAAAGGACAAAAACGTCGCTGCCTAGGGTGGCCTCTTCCGCCTCTACAGCCCACGGCCTTGGCAGACACCTTAACTCACATCGCCCAGCCCTCTGCAGGTCATCAGAGTGTACACCTGGGCTTGTTCTCCCGCTCCCCCATCCTTCTGGCCTCTTTCAGAATTGCTTTTAAAAGCTGTACTATGAAATGATGCCTCCACATTCCCCAGATGTGTTATTAGAAACAGCTTTACCTACAATCCATTCTGGGATGCGGTTGAAGGTGGGCTCAGTATTTGACGCAGTGACCCTTTATGAAGACCCATGGGAGAAACTTCTCTCACGTCTTATTAACAAATTGCCATGCTTTCCCTTAACAACTGGTTTGGGTATGTCTTCGGACATAATGAGTCATATAACTCACCAGATTTCCCTCTGTACTGCCTGCCAGAAGGTCAAAGTCTAGTCTGCAGCAAGTTTACATGCTTTATATTGTATGGGTTTTATGTACATCCTCTTCATCTTACTGTTGTAATCTCTATTTTTTTTTCTTCAGCCTAATTTCCTTGGTTATTTTCTGTCTGCCTATAATGTATATATTTTTATAAGATGTATCTAATTTTTGAAATGGGGTGACATATAAATACATTTTTAAATAGAAACTGATTACAATCATTCCTGTGGCAAATGTTAAACATCTACTTTTGCCAGCTGCCTTGACTAAACGTATTTCCTGTACTCTATAGGTCTGAATTGTACAAGTTGAATGGGTGTAAAGGAGAAAGCAATCACTGAGGGCTGGGGTGTTTCCATTTGAGTGGGTGCAGGAAGGATGTGGATAGAGTGAAAAACTCCTCACTGTTCCTCATGGACCCATCGCCCATCTGTCTTGGGGTGCAGTCAAGCTAAGGCTGCGCACGCAGCAGCGGAAGCATCGTGCTTTTAGGAGAGAAGGCCTTGTGACTGGAGCTCTTATTCCTCACTGAGGATTTTATTCACTACATTTAACACATGTAAATTTTACAAAGCAAAAAGAGAAAAATAGCTCTGAAAATATGACACAAGCACCATAGAAATGACTAGCGTTTATTGCCCTTGAAGTTTTTGTTTTTAGACTTTCAGATATAAAGTCATTCATTTTTTTAAGTGTATTCACAGTTTGTTCAATATAAATAAGTTATAAAATGCACACATGTCTAGTAGTAATTATCAGAAATTGTAGGGCTTTATCTCAGCTAGATGTAACTCAGGGAAGTGTCTCTGTCCTGGTCCTGTTCAAATAATTTTTCCTTTTGGTGTTTGATTCAGAGAAATAAAGTCTTGATTATCTACTTTAAGTGATATAATTTTTGAAAAATACCAAACAAAATACCACATTTCTAGTTCATCACACTCCACTACCTTTAGAGAGAGCTCAGAGAAGGCCAGGTCACTTCATTTGGACTTTGAACCAGACATATGATTGTGGAAGGAGACATAGTGTGTGCCTTAGAGCCAAAAAGATGAAATAAAAGATTTGTCATTTGGAATTATCTTTGCACTGTTCACTCACTCTGAAAAATGCAGAGTTGAATGTCATTACCATTTCCATTACAGTGTTATGAAGATTAGGTCATACTAAGCGCTCTCCTTTCAGAACAAATCTCATGTTCTCAGGTTCTCATATACCTGAAGGAGAGGTTAGGATACAGATGGAATACATGGGTTACCAAAGATCCATAATGCAGCAAAGATTCTGGCTGTCCCGAACATAATAAAAATATTAATTTCTTGGCCTTTTTAAGTAGTGTCTTGTATCAAAAACAAAGAAGAAGAAATGGAATTCTGCTAGCTAAAATTAATTGCAAGACAAAAATATTGGAGGACCAATATCTTCAGTTCAAAGTATTGCTAACATGCTTTGTCTTTATTACCTTATACAGCTGCACTATTTCCTTATATAACTGAATGATGCCATGCTCAGTGAAGCTCACAAAATTGTAGTTTTGATTAGTGACAGATTAGCCTGACTGGCACTTATAAGACTGTAAACTTCAAATAAGCATGGTTTGTAATTTGAAAACAGACCCCTAAGAGTTCTTTCCTGTCAAGTAATTTAACAGCTTCTTTTTGTGTGTGTCTGTGTTTCCCAAAGGATGATATCAGAAAACTGGGCAAGCTGTTGATGCATGGCTCTTTCAACGTCTGGACAGTTCACAAGGATCGTTATAAGATGAAGGATTTAATTCGATTTAAGCCCAGCCAGAGGCAAATCTATCTATTTGAACAGGGAATAGTGTTCTGTAAGATACGAATGGAGCCCAGTGACCAGGGCCTGTCTCCTCACTACAGCTTTAAGAAGTCTATGAAGGTAAAGGGGTCCTATTGCACTTGGGAGTCAGCACAACCCTATGGAGAGAAATGCTGTTATCCGTATTTTACAGATAAGGAAACTGAGGTGAGGTTAACTTGCCAAATGCCACACAACAGAGCGAGAATCCACACACAGGCCTGATTCCAGAGTCAGAGCTTGTAATCAGCCACTAGATAGGGCCAGCGCTGGCACAGAGGTGCCTTTGTGCTGGGTGGAGAAAAAGGACCCAATGGCAGCCTGTCTGGATAAACTAATTGAAAAGTACCCTCTTTCCTCCAGGCAGAGGATTGAACGCCTTGGAGATTAGAGCATGGGCTGGATTTCATCTTCTCAACCACGCATCTTTGCATGCAAGTGTAGGCAATATCCTGACCCTGGGGGTGTAGGAACCCATGTCCACACCAAACATTGCCTCTCACCCATATTAGAAATATTTCATAGCTAGCGATCACACGCACACACACACGTGCTCTTGTGATTAAAATCGGTAGTTTATTCATAGTACTTTTTGTTATTTTTGTTTCTTAATGGATACAAATTCAGTTACTACTTGTGAAATACTCAGGTATTAAAGGAGAGATAATCTTTTTGCTTAAAGTTGAAGGCTACAGCTCTGCATATGGAAACATATAGTCTGTCTTGTCCTCTGAAACAGACAAGACAAATGACACTGTACCAGATTATGTTTTATGCTCCTTGGGGCTGTTAACAGAGGACAGCAAAACACTTGGAAGGAAGATGGAAGAAGAGAGCAATCAAGGGTAGCAAAGATTAGAGTGGCTGACAGGGATAATTTTTTTAATCAGAAAAGATGGTATAGAAAATTTTCTTCTTTCTTTACAATAGTTAATGACACTTGCAATTCGCCAACTTGGAAGGGGGAGCAACAGAAAGTTTGAAATTGCCAACCAAAATGGACTTGAGAAATACATCCTACAGGTAAAATTCATGCCTTCCCCATAGGTGTCCTTTCCCCTTTCCCTATTATGTTCCCATCACTCAACCAGTGTTTTCTGTCACATTCTAAAGGTCACCCAGAGAATAAAAGTCCTGTCCAATTAATGCACCAGGTGATCTGATACTCATGGTATTTTCTTCTTTGTAATTGCAGGCAGCTTCAAAAGAAATCAGAGATTGTTGGTTTTCAGAAATAAGTAAATTATTGCTGGAACAACAAAACAATATTAGAGGTAAGGTTACCCTTGCTGACTCTAGTCTGGAGAGTTATACTGATTCCAACTTTGTAGTGGGTATGGAGATTGGGGATACTGTTAAAGAAAATGCTTTGCCTAGAAAATAACTGTGGGCACATTTTCATAGTACCTGGAAGCACCTGTGGATGCTTTAGATTGTGTGTGGGTTTTTGTGGTTGTGTGCATGTCCCTTTTACACATACTCCCACATACCCAATGGCCAAGATCCAATTTTCTCAATCAAAAGTCAACAATCTGCAGCCCAGAGGAGGGTCCTCGCAAGAAGTCAACCATGATGGCACCCTCCTCTCAGACTTCCAACCTCCAGAACTGTGAGAAATAAACTTCAGTCATTTTTAAGCCACCCAGTCTATGGTATTTTGTTATAGCAGCCTGAACCAAGACAGGCTTGATGAAAATCAGTTGGCCATAGATATAGAATTCTCTGCTGACAGTCTTTTCCTTTTAGCACTTTTGTCATCCCACTGTTTTGTGGCCTCCATAGTTTATGATAAGAATTAAGCTATTTATCTTATTAAAGATTCTTTGCATGTGACAAATTGCTTTTGTCTTGCTGCTTTCCAGATTCTCTCTTTTTTTTTTTTTAATTAAATGGTAATTGACCTACAAAACTATGTTTGTTCCAGGTGCACAACGCCTGGAATTCAGTATTTCTATACACAAAGTATTGCTATAATTTATGTCAAAAAGTATACTGCCTGGGACTTCCCCGGTGGTCCAGTCCACTCTGCACTTCCACTGCAGTGGGCACGGGTTCAAACCCTGGTCAGGAAACTGAGATCCCACGTGCCACACGGCACAGGGAAAAAAAAAAGTATACTGCCTATGTTTTCTTTCAGGAGTTTTATGGCTTCGGGTCGTACATTTAAGTCTTTAATTCATTTTGAGTTTATTTTTGTATATGGTATGAGAAAGTAGTCCAATTTGATTCCTTCATATGTAGCTGTCCAGTTTTCCGAACACCATTTATTGGAGATGCTGTTTTTTCCGCATTGTATATTTTTCTCGCCTCCTTTGTCATAGATTAATTGCCCACATAAGTGTGGGTTTATTTCTGGGCTCTCTATTCTATTCCATTGATCTATGTGTCTGTTTTTATGCCACTACCATATTGTTTTGATTACCGTATCTTTATAGTATAGTTTGAAATCATGGCTCATGATACTCCCAGCTTTGTTCTTCTTTCTCAAGATTGTTTTGGCTATTCAGGATCTTTTGTTTCCCTACAAATTTGGAATTATTTCTTCTACTTCTGTGAAAAATGCCATTGGTATTTTGATAGGAATTGCATTGAATCTGTAGATTGTCTTGGGGAGCATGGTCATTTTAACAATATTGATTCTTCCAATCCATGAGCATGGTATAATTTTCTATTTGTTTGTGTTGTCCTCAATTTCTTTCATCAATGTCTTATAGTCTTCTCTCCTTGTTTAGATTTATTCCTAGATATTTTATACTTTTTGATGCAATTGTAAATTAGATTTTTTTCTTGGTTTCTCTTTCTGATAGGTCATTGTTAGTGTATAGAAATGCAACAGATTTGTGTATATTACTTTCATATCCTGCAACTTTATGTAACTAGTTGCTTTTCCCTTGCTGCTTTTAAGATTCTCTCTTTATTGTTATTTTTTACCAATTTAATTACAACGTGTCTTAGTGTGGATCTCTTTGGGTTTATCTTGTTTGGGACTCTCTGTGCTTCCTGGACCTGATGTCTGTTTCCTTCCCCAGGCTAGGGAAGTTTTCAGCTATTATATCTTCAAATAAGTTATCTGCCTCTTTCTCCCTCTATTCTCTTTCTGGAACCCCTATAGTGCAAATGTTCACATGCTTGATGCTGTCCCAGAGGTCTCTTAAAGTATCCTCATTTTTTACAATTCCTTTTCTTTTTTCTGGTCAGCTTGGGTGATTTCCAGTATTCTGTCTTCCAGTTTGCTGATCTGCTCCTCTGTATCATCTAATCTACTGTTGATTCCTTCTAGTGTATATTTTGTTTTAATTATTGTATTCTTCAGCTCTGTTTGGTTCTTTATATTTTCTAACTCTATAAAAATTTCTCTCTGTGTTCGCCTGTTTTTCTTTTGGGCTCATTGAGCATTTTATGATCATTACCTTGAGCTCTTTATTGGGTAGATAAGTAATAAGTATTCCTTAATATTTCTTCTGGGGTTTTATCTTGTTCCTTCATTTGGAACATATTCCTCTGTCACCTCATTTTGCCTAATTCTCTGTTTTTATTTTTATATATTCTAAGTAAGTCAGTTACGTTTCCCAATGTCAGAGAAGTGGCCTTATGTAGGAGATGTTCTTTGGGGCCCAACAGCCCGCTTCTCTTTGGTCACCAATGTGCTCTAGGGCAGCCTCCTATGTGGGCTGTGTGGACCCTTCTGTTGTGATGAGGCTGACTACTGTAAGCACACTTGTAAACAGGGCTGGCCCCCACCCCAGTTGGCTGCAAGGCTCTGCCTCTTGGAGGAGGCTGCCTACCTGCTGGTAAGCAATGCTAGGTCCTGGCACAACTGGCTACGCAGCTCAGGGGTTCCCAGGACTAGTGCCGGCCCACTGGTGAGTGGGTCTGGGTCCCGGGCCTTCTGGTGGGTGGGGCTAGATCTCTGAATGGCTGGAGGCTCATGGGGTCCTAGGGCATCAGGCCTGCTGCTGGGTGGGGCCGTGTCCCAGAACTAATCATCTAGAGGGAGGATTCCAAAGTGGCACTTGCCAGCACCAGTGTCATCATGGTAGAATGAGCTCCTAAAGATGGCTGCTGCCAGCATCTATATTCCCAGGGGGAGTCCCAGTTGCCTCCTACCTCTCTGGGAAGCTCTCCAAGATTATCAAGTGGGTCTGACCCAGGCTCCTTTCAAACTATTTCTTCTGCCCTGGGTCTTGGAGCATGTGAGATTTTGTGCATGCTCTTTAAAAGTAGAGCCTCTATTTCCTAGAGCCCTCTAACTCTCCCGAAAGTAATCCGCACTGGCCTTCAAAGCCAGACACTCTGGGGGCTCATCTTCCCGGTGCAGGACCACTGAGCTGGGGTGCTCAACGTGGGACTTGTATCTCTTGATCCTTAAGGAAAACTTATGCAGTTGTGATTATACTCCCGTTTGTGGGTTGCCTATACTGCTTTTGACTATACTGCTTCTCTGCCCCTCCTACCCATCTCATTGTGATTCCTTCTTTATATCTTTCGTGGTGGAAAATCTTTTCTGCTAATCTTCAGGTGGTTCTCATCAATAGTTGCTCTGTAAATAGTTTTAATTTTGGTGTGGCCATGAAAGGAGGTGAGCTTACAGTCTTCCCACTCTGCCATCTGGGCTGTCTCTCCTTTCTTTGTCTTTTGACAATTTTGACAGTATAGGTTTGGGTCTCTGAGTTTTTATTTCTTGGAGTTTGTAGATCATCTTGGATGTGTAGATTAGCATTTTTCATCAAAGTTTGGAAGTCTTTGCCCATTCTTTCTTTAAGTATTCTTTCAGTCCCTTTTTTCTTTCCTCTGGCATTTCCATTATGCTTGATATACTTGGTATGTTGATATGCTTGTTGGTGCCCTGTAGGTCTTTAAGTCTCTGTTCATTTTTTTTTCATTCTTTTTCTTTCTCTTCCTCAAATTGGATAGTTTCAATTGACCCATATCTGAGTTCTCTGATTCTTTCTTCTGCCTGCTCAAATCTGCTATTGAGCCACTCTAGTGAATTTTTCATTTCAGTTATTATACTTTTCAACCCCAAACGTCTATTTGGCCCTTTTTAAATATAATTTCTCTCTATTTATATTCTCTATTTGATGAGATTTTGTTTTCATACTTTTCTTTAGTTCTTTATGTGTGGTTTCCTTTCATTCTAAACTTTTTTTTAAAGCTGGTTTAAAGCCTTGGTCTAAGAAGTGCAATATCTTGGCTTCCTCGGGGACAGTTTCTGTTGACTGCTTTTTTTTTCTGTGTATGGGCTATACTTTCTTGTTTCTCTGCACATGTCATAATTTTTCTTTGAAAACTGGACATTTAAAATAACATAATGTGGCAACCCTGGAAATCAGATTCTCCTCCATCTCCAGTGTTTGCTATTGTTGCTATTTGTTGTTGTTGTTTTTGTTTGTTTACTTACTGACTTTTCTGAAACAATTCTATAAAATCTGTATTCGTGGTCATGTGTAGCCACTGAAGTCTCTGCTTGGTTCATGACTGGGCAGAGATTTCCTTAAACACCTGAAACCAACAAGCATTCCAGTCTTTGCCAAGGGGCTCTGTGGATTTTTGTTTTTTATAAGTTTATTTATTTATTTATATTTTATTTTTTGTTTGCATTGAGTCTCCATTGTTGCACATGGGCTTTCTCTAGTTGCGGCGAGTGGGGACTACTCTTCGTTGCAGTGTGCAGGCTTCTCATTGTGGTGGCTTCTCTTGTTGCGGAGCATGGGCTCTCCCTGTGTGGGCTTCAGTAGTTGTGGCACACGGGCTCAGTAGTTGCGGCTCGTGGGCTCTAGAGCTCAGGTTCAGTAGTTGTGGCACACGGGCTTAGTTGCTCTGCAGCATGTGGGATCTTCCCAGACCAGGGCTCGAACCCATGTCCCCTGCATTGGCAGACAGATTCTTAATCACTGCACCACCAGGGAAGTCCCTCTACATGGATTTTGAAGCACACCTTCAATATTCAGCCAGACAGGTGACAATTCCACGTTAGCCTTCAATTCCTGTTTGTGCAGAGCCTCAAGATCAGCCAAGGTGAGAGCATAAGCCCTGCTAAGATTTTTCCTGAGCATGCACACAACCCTGGTCATGTGCACAATGGACTTCTAGATTCTCAGGACTATTTGGAGTTTTTCAAAACCACTATGTATATCTTATTCTTAAGTTTTTCCTTTTAAACTTTTTGATTAGCCTATTTTTGCCCCAGCTGATATCCAGTGCCTCAAGCAGCCAAGAAGTTAAACAATCACCCTGGACATTTTCTACAAATGCCCCTGGGGAAAAGGCCTTTCACACTGAGCAAGCTCTTAGTTGGGTTAATAAAGACAGCCTTTCAAGTAGGATATTCCAGGGAATCCCCAGACAACTCAAATAATGACTATCTACTGGGAATGAGACTTTGAAGGAGCTCCAACCCTGTTCTGTCCCTTCCTACAGGTGCCGGCTTGCTAATTTTCACCATGATTGCAGGCTGTTGGCTTCCAAGGCCACCACCAAGAAGAAGGGGTGAGATGGGACTAGGGCAACTAAGACACCACAGAGCTCACTGGTCATACTGAGATTCATCCATTCTTCTTGAATTAATGCTCTCCTGATTGCCTTTGTTTAATTTCCAGCATTCTGAAAATATTGTGTCTGACTATTTTTATCAGTTTTTTCCATGCTTTCATTGAGGAGAGAATTTTTGGAGGGATTTTTTTTCCCTGCACCATTTTCACAGATGTCACTCACTGTATTCCCTTTAATCATGAAAAATCATCTTTGAGTAGGCTTTACCCTTTCACATTTGTCTTCTCAAGTGATATTAGATAGGAAAATCCACAACAAGCTTCATCAATTGAGTTCTAATATTTCCTTCGGGTAATGTTGCTAGGGTTAAGAGATGCTAGTCTCATGTGGAAAACCTATCTCCTATCATTTATACTGGCAACGATTTTTTTGTTTACTAAGAAAAATTATGTAAGTGTGAAAAGATAACTTTGTCTTCAGAGACTTAGCAGGAATGAAACCATTTCACGCTCTTTCTGTGTCTTCTCTGATCATGAACTAGTCAGGAGGATGTGAGGGTGGGTGTGCGTCGAAAGATGAAGAAAAAGATAAGAAATGTGATTGGAAAAACCACCACATTGGTTTTCAGTTACAATCAAGTGGCCTAATTTCTCGATTTACACTGTAGGCCTCTGCCAGGAAATGGTAACAAGATCATGTAGTTAATTTTAATTTATATAAAGGTAAGATTGGAAAAAAACTATGATTTAATTTTGTTTTTGAACTATTAATAGTATGCTAAATATGTGTTATGGTAATGGAATATGCGTGCTCTGGGGGCATAGTACAGAAACATGTAACAACCCTAGTAGAAAAAGTTACTTATTTTCCCCAGAAACAAACATTCTAATAACAATATTGTTCTAGAAATCCTTACTCCCTAGACCAGTGTTTCACAAAGGGTGGTTTAGGGACAGCCTGCAGTGGAATTACTTGAAGAGCTTGGGTCAAATGCATATTTCTGGGTCCTAGCCTAGAACTGTAGAATTAGGATAGCTAGGGCTTATACCTGAGAATATGCATTGTAGCTTATTAAAGTTTCTGGGCAGAGGCCTTAAACTACAATTTTTTTTTTTCTTTTTTTTGCGGTACGCGGGCCTCTCACTGCTGTGGCCTCTCCCGTTGTGGAGCACAGGCTCCGGATGCGCAGGCTCAGCGGCCATGGCTCACGGGCCCAGCCGCTCATGGCATGTGGGATCTTCCTGGACCGGGGCACAAACCCGTGTCCTCTGCATCGGCAGGCAGACTCTCAACCACTGCGCCACCAGGGAAGCCCAAACTACAATTTTTAAAACAGTTTTATTGAAAATAAATACAGCTTTATTGAGGTATAATTGACATAGTAAATTGCACATATTTAAAGTATACAATTTGATAAATTTTGACATATGTACATACCTGTGAAAGCATCACACAATCAAGATAATGAACACTTCTTTCACCCCCAAAATTTTCCTCATGTCTCTTTTTATTACCTTTCTCTTGCCCCTCTCTTACCCCCCTACAGCTCTCCAGGTGATTACTGATCTCATTTCTATCGCTATAGATTACTTTGATTTTTCTAAAATTCCATAAAGAAAATATATAGCATGTACTTTTTTTGGCCTAGTTTCTCTCACCTAGCTATTTTTTTTTTTTTAATTTATTTTTGGCTGCGTTGGGTCTTTGTGGCTGCACGCGGGCTTTCTCTAGTTGCAGTGAACACCCTTTGTTGTGGTGCACGGGCTTCTCATTGCAGTAGCTTCTCTTATTGTGGAGCACGGGCTCTAGGTGCACGGACTTCAGTAGTTGTGGCACGTGGGCTCTAGAGCTCAGGCTCAGTAGTTGTGGCGCACAGGCTTCGTTGCTCCGCGGCATATGGAATATTCCCAGACCAGGTCTTGAACCCATGTCCCCTCTGCATCGGCAGGCGCATTCTTAACCACTGCGCCACCAGGGAAGTCCCAGCATAATTGTTTTGAGATGCATTTATGTTGCTTTGTGTAGCAATAGTACATTCCTTTTAATTGCTGTGTAGCATTCCATTGTTTGGCTATACCCCAGTTTACATATCCATTTACCTGTTAATGAACATTTGTTTTCTTTCCACTTCTGAGGGGCTATTCTGGATAATGCTGCTATGAACATTTGAGTACAAATCTTCTCATGGACTTAGGTTTTCATTTCTCTTGGGTAAATACTTAAGAGTGTAATGGTTAGGCCAGATGGCAGGTGCACGTTTAATTTTTTAAGAAATGGCTACGCTATTTTCCAGTGTGGTTATACCATCTTATACTCCCACAGCAGTGTATGAAAGTTCCACTTGCTCCACACCCTCGCCAACACTTGGTATTGTCAGTCTTTTTAAATTTTAAGCCTTCTAATAGGTATGTAGTGGCATGTTACTGAGGTTTTAATTTGTTTTGATTAATGGTTGAGCGTCTTTTTATGTGCTTCTGTATCACACATGTATCTCCTTGTTTTCTTATTATTTAGTTTTGAGAGCTTTTTTTAATATATTCTAAGTACAAGTCCTTTATTGGATATATACTTTGCAAATATTGTCTTTCAGTATGTAGCTTAGTTTTTCATTCTCTTAAGAGTACCTTTTTAAGGGCAGAAGATTTTGAGTTTTATGAAATACAATTTTTAAAAAATTATGGATCATACTGTTGGTGTTGTGCCTGAGAAATATTTGGCTAAAGGTCACAAAGATTTTCTCCTATGTTTTCTCCTAGATGGTTTATAGTTTAAGTTTTACATTTAGGTCTCTGATCTATTCTGAGGGGGTTTTATGGTGTATGGTATAAAGTGTCAATCAAAGTTCAATTTTGTGCACATTAATTGTTGTTCTACCACCATTGTTGAAAAGACTCTTCTTCCACCAATTGACTCTTTATATAAGTGCATCTATTGCTGGCTGCTGTATTCTGTTTAATTGATTATTTATCTGTCTTGACATCAATACCTTACTATCTTGATTACTGTAGCTTTATAATGTCTTAAAATCAGATCATTTGAGTCCTTTGACATTGTTTTTCCTTTTTAAAGTTGTTTTGGCTCTTCTATATCCTTTACATTTCTGTATATATGTTTAGAATCAGCTTGTCGATTTCTATAAGAAAGCTTGCTGGGATCTTGATTGGGATTGTGTAAAATCTACAGATCAATTTGGTGAAGTGACATCTTAACAATATTGAGCTTAATCTACAATCTAGATTTTTAACTAGATCACCCTGCCCTTCCCTGCCCCACAGAAAAACACGTTTGTTGTGAGGTCATGGCATTTATTCCGTTAATAATTCAGAAACACATTTCTTAAGTCTTCCTCAAGTCCTAGCACTGTGTGCTCTAGGTTGTGACAGGAATGTAAAATATAAATAAGAAGCAGAACCAGAATGCTAGCAAGTAGTTTAGATTAAAAAAAAAAAAAAACTGAACTAAAATATCGGCCCAGAGGTGTGGTCCCAGCCCCTTCCTTTCACAGGCAGGCCAACTGAGGGTCAATTTCACACAGCTTTCCTGCAGCAGGACCAGGTCTCCCGAGCCTGGCTCACCAAGCAGGGTCTGATGAAATGTCACTGCGAGTGATGCCCCCAGCAAGGGCTCTAGGAATTCAGAGGGGCCTCCGCGCCCTGTGGGTGAGTGAGCAGGAGTGGGGCCTTGGGCTGGTCCCCGAGAGATAAGACTCCAGGGCCGAACACAGACTCAGGGGCATCAGGCAAGAGGGGAGGGAGGTTTCAGAGGTTGCCAGATCAGGAACATCAGGACCTCACCGCTGCCCAGCACTCACACGGCTCTGACACCTACGCATCATCACCCCAGTTCATTCCTACACCGCCCGACCCCACCTTCAACCACCGGGACTGCTGGGCATGATAACTCCGTGCCCTCTGGGCAAGGCCTCCGGGCCCCCAGCGACGAGGGCCTCTAAGGCGACAGGACGGGCCCTGGGAGCCGCTGAGGGTGTGGAGACAGGGCCTCTGGAGACAGCCAGGCAGAAGGGGCCTGTGCCCAGAGAGAGTTACAGAGTCAGAGAGGCTCTGGGCTGGGAAGAGAAGAGCGTAACCCGACGCGTGGGACGCGGTGGCGCAAGTCAAGGAGGGCAGCTGGCCCTGTGGTTTGGGACAACCTCCTCCTGTGTGGCCTGACCCTGTGTGACAGGGAGGCCTAGGGACACTGGGAGATCAGGCTCACCGGGCAGGGGCTCTGGCGGCAGGCGGCTTTGCAGGGGCAGCACGGTGCGTGGTACAAGGTAAAGCCCCTTTGTGGTACAAGGCATCGTGCTCCAGGCCGCAGGCCCATCCTAGCAACTGGGCAACTCGTGCCATCACATGGGTAATAAAGGTGGACCCACGGGGCTTCCCTGGTGGCGCAGTGATTGAGAGTCCGCCTGCCGATGCAGGGGACACGGGTTCGTGCCCCGGTCCGGGAAGATCCCACATGCCGCCGAGCGGCTGGGTCTGTGAGCCATGGCCGCTGAGCCTGCGCGTCCAGAGCCTGTGCTCCGCAATGGGAGAGGCCACAACAGTGAGAGGCCCGCGTACCGCAAAAAAAACAACAACAACGGTGGACCCATGAACCTTTGAAATCACAGAGCTGCCGCCGAGGGAGCATGTTCAGTGATGAATTGGAGCCTGGCTTGAGAGGTTCATGGGTAGAGTGGAAGGAAATGAGGTTGAGAGAGAAGGAGGTAAGCCTCAAGTATCAGTTTAGGTTTAATGCAGGTGCAGGCGGTGAGGGACACTGGAGGTTGAGTCCTGGTGCTATTCTCACAGCTGGGACAACACCCGAACAAAGAAGGTGATTTTCATCCTGTCCCAGAAATGCATGATGTTTCCCTTACCAAGCCATGTAACTTGGGCTCCGGTGGAAAAAGTGAGCATTTAATGGGCCCATTGTTTATTTCTTAATTCAGTGCTAATGGAGCTAACTGTGGAAACGTGGATGGACTGAGAATCAAGGCACACGGGACGCAG